TGACATACGAACAACATACAGATACATACGAGTACGTGCGGCTACATACGAGTGACATACGAACAACATACAGATACATACGAGTACGTGCGGCTACATACGAGTGACATACGAACAACATACAGATACATACGAGTACGTGCGGCTACATACGAGTGACATACGAACAACATACAGATACATACGAGTACGTGCGGCTACATACGAGTGACATACGACAAACGAATATTTATTTTTTATCATATAAACTGCGTTAATTTTTTACGTGTGTTTGAGCTGCTGAAACGTCACTCACCTTTTGCAAAGCTGCATAAATCCTCTTGTGTCGACTGAAGTGTCTCATTGGACTTAAGTTTTTCGGTGGACGAAAACCAACTTTACTTGCATTTACTTTCCCTCCCATTTACTGACCAAGCAGAGGAAAATATTCGTAGATTAATCTTCGATGCAACTGAATAATACTTCCCGCAATATAATTGACCTTTTTTGAAGAAAAAAGTTGTCATGAAAGTTCGTGAACTTGGGTTTGTTTACCAAACCGGCAAGGAACATGGTTTGATGGTACTCTGGTTTAGAGATTTAATGAATGTAACCGAAATTATAATTCAGAGACCCAACGTTTCAATACTTCTGTCTAGTGCCTTCATCAGGGATGATCTAATCGTTGCAACAAAAGCCCCTTTTATATGTTCACTAATTAGCTACCGTTTCTTCTGACGAGGTGTAAATTACGCGTTAGGTAATAAGCCGCCATCATCACTATTCATTTATTTATTTATTTATAAGCTTGGCCAAAAACAATTTGGCAGGAGAGATCTCACAGAGCTAACGTTCCATTAACGAGACTCCTAGACTCCTATTTAAAGGAGAGACTCCTAGACTCCTATTTAAAGGAGAGACTCCTAGACTCCTATTTAAAGGAACGTGGGCGGAGTTGATACGCCAAGCTTCCAAGCAAAGGCGCTGGTGGTAGCAGCGATTAGTGGTGATACCTTTAGAATTGTTCCTCCCAATTGTATGGTTTTTTTTTTAACTAACTCATTATTTTATTCCCAACCTTACAAATTACAAATACAGTCACTTACATAACTTACAGTACAATACGACTACTCACATTATTTACAGTGTAACAACGGTTTACACTACTTACAAAACAGTTCAAAGCTTACACCACTATTGTTAGATTATTCCCAATTGTATGGTTGGTTAGGCATGTGTGCTCAGACAGAGCTGAATATTCGTTTTTTCAAAAGAAGACCGATTTTTGATGCTCTTTTAAACGTTCACCAAACTGACGTTTGGTCTGTCCGATATAATCGTGATCACAATCAGTAGAATAAATAGCATCGGTTTGTTGTTCTTTCGTAACAGGATCCTTAGGTTTGGCAAAAATATGCCCCAAAGTCTGAAAAGGTTTTTGAGCAATTTTAATGTTGTGATTATTCAAAATTCTCTTGATGGGCTCCGTTGCACCCTGGATGTAAAGAATAACAGTAAAACCAATCGCTGGTTCCTTCTCATCAGAAGTGCTAATAGTCAGCCCTCCTGAGTAGAGTTTTAGCTACGGACTTTTAACGGGGGGGGGGGGGGTGAGAGTCAAAAACGAGATCTTTGTCGGTGTGGGTCGGTTTATGATAAATTAAAGACAAGTGTTTATCGTAAACCAACCCACACCGACAAATATCTCGTTATTGACTCTCATCAACCTAAAATTCGTGCGATCGTGATCTTAATGTATCGCTTGGGTCCTGATATTTTCTCGAGTAATTGCAATTTTTAGACGAAATTGGAATGCTTTCTTCTCAAGTGTTATTTTTGGAGTGCGCACTGATGAGAACAGGTGCTTCTCAGAAGGTTCTTGTCTGATTGATACGAAAAAATCGTTGCATGAGTTACAAAATGTGCTTTGTTTGATTTCCATATTTAACACAAACAAACTAGACGTAACAGAGGAAGTTGTCTTAAATATCTTAATTTTTCCCGGTACCACACCAAGCCCAAAAAATTTCTTTAAAAGATCATCAATGTGAGCCAAATAGTGCATTTCTCATAGAGATTGTTCATCAACAGAATGTGACTAAGGTAATTAAAGTTGCGCTGAGAGACTCACCGGTGTATATGACGCTTAATTACTCCATTGCTTTAAAGTGAAAGTGACCCCTAAACTCTTTTCCACTTACAAAATCTTCATGCTTTGGTGAGTATTTCTTCGAAAAAATTGTTGGATTTGGTTAAATCCTCAATTTTTTATGGCCCGTTGAAGTCGAGATCCGAATGGACCACGACCGCGTAAATGGGGATCTGGGCAGAGTAGACTTGTGACGTCACTTCGAGAAGACGCTGAAGGAATTCTCAGCCAGTCGTCGATCTGCGAAGGCCTTTCTAGCACGAGATTCATTCTATTTGGTCTTCGTAGCCTGTGAAATTCAAGTGAAAATTACAATGTCTTTCGAATCATCGGACACGGAGACGAACTTCGACTCGGACGACTCGCAAATGAGTTTTATCGCTAGTTGCGAACTTTAAGACGAAGGGCAGTCATCCCGCGTTTCACCATTATCACCAGAAACTTCGAGCGATTCAAGCGATGACGATGCTGCTCATACTGACGAGCCACTGGCTAATAGAGAATGGATAGAAAAATACCAAGAAGAAGTGAAGGCTAACGAAGAGCTCGAACGAAGCCTAAAGGACTGGTTACGGGGCAATGTAGAACTGAAGGAATGGTGAGATTCGCGGGTTTCTCCCTTATATACATATTCGCGTGAAATTTAGTTATGCATTACATGTGTTGGCACGATTGCTTCTGGCGCTATTTTGTACGTATTTTTTGGATGATTTTTCTGCTAACATAAATTTGCTGAACTTTAGGTGCAACTGTGGAAATTGCAACGTCGCTTTGTTACAAAACATCAGTGAATGTTATTGTTGTTGTGAACTGGAAGGCTGCGAAGAATCGATCAAGAGTGATCTTGTCATACAAGATCTTGCCCCTGATGTTAAACTGACCTGTATCACTGAACATCCAGGATTTCATCCCGTTTGTCTTCAGAAGTGGAGTCTGAGATTAGCTGCGGGCAAGTTCAAAACCAAAGGGAAGGAAAGGTATCGGCAGACGGGAAGCGAAGAAAGGTTAGCAATATTTACTGCTGGTTGGTGTGATTCCTTTTCGAGTTTACCAAAACATATCACTCCTGGATTTCCAAGTTATGAAGCTCGAAATAAGCTCGTTTGAAAACTGACGCACAAAAAATATCCAATGTTTGAAAAGTGGCTTTTGTCGTCTGTCGATTGACTTTGTTGAGAGTCCACGGGAAATCACCACCATTCTTTTGCGACCAATATCGATCTAACCTTTCAAACATAACCAGTGAACTGTGCAAAATGGCGCGAAAATACAGATTGCTGGGTTCTCGAAGTGACGTCACATTAGTCGCCAGACTCTTGATCCTTGAAACGCGGTCGTGAGCCAAAATGGCGGTGATTTTAATGCGATTAACCGTACTTAAATTTCAAGGATTTAACCAAATCCAAAAATTTTTTCGAAGAGATACGCACCATAGCATGAAGATTTTTTAAAAGGAAAAAAAAATTTGGGGTCAGGTGCACTTTAAGAGGGTCAAAACAGGTAAAAAATTAACGACCATTTTTAGAAAAAAAGCGGAAGTGAGAGTATTTTTAATTCATTTTAAACTAATAATAACCACAGCGAACGTAAGCAAAAAGAAGCACGTCATCAAAGCGTTTTTCGCCTCGTAGGCTAAGAGAGGAAAGGGACATTTAAGGGGCGGTTATTTACACGAGGTCTAATCCAAACCGCGGTTTTACGCATGTAGTGGGTCTCAGAAATTCTCTAGAAGAGGGTTGATTTAATTAAATAATTATTTCTGCAGTAAGAGCTCCGAGAGAGAGCCGAAAGCGGGGAGGTGCTCATTGATCAAGAAGAGCAGCTAGAAAGGTGGGAAGAACAGTTCAGGGAGCTGCTCAATAGACCTCCGCCAAGTGAGATGCCTGATATAGAACCACCCGATACACCTTTACAGGCCAACGAGAACAAGCCAAGCAAAGTAGAGATCAAGATAGGCATTAAACGTTTAAAGAATGGAAAAGCTGCAGGCTCTGACGGCATACCACCAGAAGCCATCAAGGCAGATTTAATTACCTCGACAGAGATGCTTTACGAGCTGTTTGGGAAGATCTGGGAGACAAACGAGGTACCGGATGACTGGAAAGAAGGCTACCTGATCAAATTACCAAAGAAGGGAGACCTACGGGAATGCAAGAATTGAAGAGGCATCATGCTGCTATCATCTGCCGGAAAAGTGCAGAGCAGAATATCTTGGAGAGACTGAAGATGGTAGTGGAAAAACGACTGAGCGATGAGCAAGCTGGATTTCGGAAGGAAAAGTCGTGGACTGATCATATTGTCACCTTGAGGATCATCTTGGAACAGTCGCTTGAGTGTAACTCTCCCGTTTACACGACCTTTGTTCATTTTGAGAAGGCCTTTGACAACGTTGATAGAGACGTGTTGTGGAGGCTATTACGTCATTACGGCATCCCCGAGAAGTACATTACCCTTATATAGAAGACCTATGACAAATGTAGTTGCAGGATAATTCACAACGGCGTCCTTTCTGAATTGGTTGAGATGCTCACCGAGTACGCCAGGGTTGTTTGTTATCGCCCTTTCTGTTCCTGCTGGTCATCATCTGGATAATGCGACAGACAACTGAGAAACATCGAGATGGCATACAGTGGACCCTCATGACTCGACTAGAAGATCTAGACTTCGCGGACGTCAGTGGTGAGAGCACTCGCCTCCCACCACTGTGGCCCGGGTTCGATTCCCGGACCTGGCGTCTCATGTGGGTTGAGTTTGTTGTTGGTTCTCGTCCTTGCTCCGAGGGTTTTTCCCCGGGTCCTCCGGTTTTCCTCCCTCCGCAAAAACCAACATTCCAAATTCCAATTCGATCTGGAACAGTGGACAAGAATAGCCACCCAGTGGATGTCCATTGTTAAATCATTATTTATTTATTTACTTTACTTTCACACAATCACCAGGGCATGCAATCCAAACTAACACGGATGGCCAAGATCTCAGCAAAGGCAGGCCGTAGAATCAGCAAATCTAAGACAAAGGACATGAGAATTAACACCGGTACTACAGACAGGCTGGAATTGGAGGGGGAAGACATCGGGGAAGTGGAGGACTTTGTCTACCTTGGCAGAAAGGATGGCGTGTCTGATCGAAACATACAAGTGAGGATCGGGAAGGCAAGAACTGCTTTCACAACTCTACGCCCTGTGTGGAACTCTAAAAAAATTTACAGTAAGACCAAACTACGGATATTTAACACCAACGTAAAATCCGTCCTCCTGTATGGGTCAAAGACGTGGAGGGTAACAAAAGCAACCTCCAACAAACTGCAGTCCATTGTCAATAAATGCTTACGGTCCATCATGGAAATACATTGGCCTGAGGTCACAAGGAAGGAAGATTTGTGGGAAAGAACTGACCAGGAACGAATTTACAACCAGATTAGAGGGCGCAAATGGGGTTGAATAGGGCACACCCTCAGAAAACTGAACAGCAATGTTACCAGGCATGCACTGAGGTGGAACCCATAGGGGAAGAGAAAAAAACGCCGTCCTAGAAATAGCTGGAGGAGAACCGTGGACAAGGAGGCGGCCAAGGCAGGCTACACCTGGAATGAAATAGAGAAGTTGGCCCGGGATAGAAGGAGATGGCGTGAGGTTTTCTTGGACCTATGCTCCACAGGGAGTGAAAAGGGATAAACATGAGCTTCCGACCCCTTTGACACCGTTCATAAAAGTAATTGTTCAGATAAAAGGTACGGCTAAATTGAAAATGGCTTTGAACGCGGGTTTTTTATACAAAGGCTAAACTTTGTTCAGCTGACAATTTACGAACAATTTCATCAAGCTGTAACATCTAGTATAGTCTACTCGCCTGTAGAAAATTTTGACGCGGTAAACTTACTGGAGCGATTCGCCTCTGAGTCCTTCGGAATATTCGACGTATTCCTTCTCGAAAATCAGGCATCCTAAGGGCGTACACTATTGGATTTAACAAGGAATTGGCACCAACAAGTGCCGCCAGTGTCATCGAAATATGAAAGACAGACCTCAAGTTGAGGGTGGTCGTATTTAAGCTAAAAACTATATATGGCAACCATGTCAATAACGATGCAAGTGTAATCCAAAGTAAGGTAGCTGTCAACTTTCTTTCCCTGTTGATTGCACCGTGGCGTTGAGGATTTGAGCTGTATCGAACTTTGATAAAAATTGAAATGTAACAAATACAGATGACTAAAAGAGAAACTGACCAATATGTGTATGGTGAGAAAGCAATGGCGACAGGAGAAATAATACGCTCTTCTTTATATAATAAAACTTGAATAGTCTCCCTCGTTGACGTGATTAGCCAGACAGCACCAATTACTACTCCGTAAACCCATTTCTTGATAAAACGATGGTTGAATGGAGAGAATGTGGCATGCAGTCTTTCTAAAGAAATGACTGCGAGATTGACAATAGAAGTTACTGGAAAAAGGTTAGCCAATGGAAAGATTTCAGTGTTGTACTTCCAGAAATCACAATAAAACCCCAATAGGTCGCAGATAATCACAGGACCGGAAACGGCACCAAATAACAGATCAACTATGCTGAGAAGGATGATCAGGTAGGTGCTCCGTCGCTGTAGCTGGCGTTGCTTTACGAATACGATAACGGTGATCAAATTGCAGATGAATATGGCCAGGCACTCAGTGATGGATACTACAAGCCAAGGGATACAGTCTGAGGCAACATCCAAGGTTAACTTCGCATTCTGTCCGTAACTGCTGTTTGAAGCATTGATATCGTTGTCTTGATCCATCGTAGAACTGTAAACATTTTGCAAAGGAGAATAGCTATATTTAAGAAATTTGTTAACGGACATTATTTCCCTTTTAAATAAAGGTAGAAGGAAAATTCAAAGGGACTAGAAGTAGCTTGTCTTTGATGTAAAGTTCCTAGATATGGCGATATTGTTTTCACTGAAATTTGCTTCGCATTATTCAAACAAGCTCCATCCTTACGACATCGAATACCACTAGGAATCCAAGATCTGAATCAGAGTATCGATAAGACGCCTATTACTTACAAAACTTTTGAAAAATATTCAAAGCATTTTTTGCCTTCCTTTGTTTTACTCCTTTTATTTATTAGTACCATCTTGTGAAATTTCCCTGGCAGAGTAGCCATACGAGTTTTTCCCTATCATTCTAAGCATCGATTCAAATTCCCCATTGAAGACCTTTGCCATCTCACAAGACGTTTGGTAATTCGTGGGTAGTCCATTTTTCCCGTATAAATTGTTCACCTGGGACCATTATTACATATTCATTGTATCTGATTATTATATATTCATTGTACCTGATTATTACGTTTAATGCTAAAAAGTTGGATAAGCACGTTTAATGCTAAAAAGTTGGATAAGCAAGACACAAGAGTCGAAAATGGTGTGACTTGACTAAGGTTACTATTGACGACATAGAAATTGAAAATCTGGCTAAACCATCTTTTGACTCGGATAAGGTCTAGCTCTCCGTCTTCAACTTAAAAATCATCTTCTATTCGCAAAATAAAGTCAGAGACTGTTTGAATTCCACTAGTAATTACAGGAGAAAAAACGCTAGACTTCTTCGCTTGAGTATTCTAGATTTCTTGCCAATATTTTTCTTTACTGCGCCCCTAAATAGGCCATCGATAAAAACAGAACTGTATGTGGGTTTAATAAAACTTTTTGCGCTTGTTAGATTTGTTTTGTTTTAGGTTACACGAATCCTCTTAACTATAATTCCGTTTCGATTTAAATGCGGATCATCCCAAAATTAGGCTTGACTTTTATTGGGCTTTAGCCACGTAGGTGTAATAGGGATTCAGATATGTTGTCTTCGTTTCAAAGACAGACAATTTGCTGCTTTTTTTCCGTTAGTTTCATTCATAAAATCAGGAGTCTTGAATTGAAGACGACGTAGATAATGATAATGGTAAGGTACAAACCCCAAAAATAAAGAAAAACAAACAAAAAAAAAAAAGCAAAAGAAACCTCGACATACCTCTAAGAGCCGATCACAATATGTTTACAACATTTCCTGTCTCGAAGAAATTTAGTCAAAACTTTTCAGCTGCTCCCAGCAAACCGAGTTTATCGTCGAAACAGTTGCAAACTGTTTCTCAATTTAAGGTTACCCAGGTAATAACAAAGGTTGATTCATTTGCTATGCACACCGCATCAATATGCTTTAAAGAAGTGAATTTGATAAAAGAAAACTAGAACGCTAAGCTCACTCAGCTTTGTGCGTGTCCCAGGTGATGGTGTGGGATTCATATTACTCTTAAATAATCATAATTAATCAGTTGATTACAGAGATGCGCGCTCTCTAATTGGTTAAAAGCTATACTTAGATGCCCTCAATTTTCGCAAGGTAATTACAACATTGAAGTCTGCACACCTGAAAATTACTTCAGTTGAAGCGTTTGGAAAAATTTAGAGGGCTTATTTACTAAATACCCGCTTAGGTATTCAGTGATCGGAAAACAGGTGAATCGGTGATCCTCTCAAACATCAGTTTTAGTCGAAGGCACCATGCTTTCCAATTAGGTAGCTTCTTTACAATTATTTTCTGCACCCTGCCGATCTTTCTTTGTTTCGATTGATCAACGAAATCTAAATGAGTGAGTTTCTGCCATACTCATTCTTTATCATCCTTTTTCCTATCCAGCATGGCTTTGAAGCGTTCAGACATTTTTTATCCAGCCTTCGGTAATGCCAATGTAACCATCCTTTACTACGGCTGGCAGCCTTTATTTTTGGAACCTCCAGTAAAATAGGTTATCTTTCGATCCCACAACACAATGGTGTGAGCAGAAAGCATATGATCGACGACATGATATGTTAAAGAAACTGCACCATTTACGTCGCCTAATTGCTTGGTGGCATGGTGTTTGGTGCCTGATATCCTGTAGGCAAGAGATCGCGTGGAAATTGGATTTTCTTATACGTCGAGGGAAACAAACAGTGGTCGAAAGTGAACCCCGCTATGCTAAATTGATCATCATGAGCCAAAACGACTCAGTAGAGCGAAGAACATGAATATAATGCTGGAATGAATGGGATAATTTACCGCTTGAAGCAAAACATCCTAACAACTGTCTATTATTGGGCTACCAACCTTGTTCTTCCTTGATGTAATACCCAATAGAGAGTCGGATGTTGCGAAAAGGAAGCTCTGAATGGAGCGAGACGTGATCAAACTGAAAGAAAAATAAATTTTTTGATAGTCATCTGAGCCTAAAGAGTAGAATAATGCTATGAACTAGTTATTCTGTGTTCCATATTATTCCACAACATTCACTTTGTTGGCGAATAATTTTTAAATTATTTTGAAGCCTCAGCCCACGGATGAATGCAATGCACTAATGAATTCAGCTGAGGGAAGCGCCAAACTTTGCAAAATTAAGAGGATTTTTTGACTGCGAAAAAGTATCTAGTGGGCATAATGATGTATTTATGGAATTAACAATTCAATAACAACGGGTCTTTAAATAAGGAACAGAAAATTGGTACCTAGGGAGGATCAATGTAAATTTATATCGTAATTTCCTTTTATTACAAGCTCCATTTTAAAGGCGACTTTTACCCCCCAAAAATATCAATAACAGAATGGAGTGTTTAAAGTGAACTTTTCTTTTGAAAGTTCCACATCTCTATTGATTTGGCTATGATGTTTTCCACTTCACACTCGGTTGGTTGTCAAATCCTCTTTCTGACCATTGGAAATTTTAATGTTAGCAGGTGTAACCAAATGATGACGAGTGGAATAAAAAAAAAAACTTCCCTCGTATGTTGGAAAATAATTTAAACGAGAGAAAGTCAAATTTAAGAACGGGTTACTCAAGAAATAATTTCACCTGCTTAATTCCTCTCGCGTAAGATCACCAGTATACTATTTGACTGTCTTTTAGTATTGCGAATGGCAAATTAGGTTCACTATTTTTAATCGGTTGATCCATAAAAAAAAAAAACGAATTATAAAATTTAAGCTGCAAGGCTTACATTTTAGCTACAGAATCAACTTTTGTTGTATATTGGGTAACCTAAAAATAAGAATTAGTTGTCGAGTAATAAAGAATGGAGATCGTTCGCCACAGCCGGCCTTTGTCAACAAGCCATAAAGTCATTACGTACGAGGAAATCGTCTACTGGCAATTAATTTAAGATGTTGACTTACATGTAAATGAAAGACTTGAAAAACTTATCCTTGCACTCGAAAAGCTAACATAACGCTCTTAGAAACAATTCAACCCAATTTTTTTATTTTTCTTTTTTCGATTTCTTAGTTGTTCTTTGAAAAAATGTTCAAAACAAATTGCTATTGTGGTCGTCCTGACGAAGAACATTTATCCCTAGCAGCAGTGATGAATTCATTTCCGCAGACAATTTCCGTCTTTATGTCTTCTAACAAGCAAACCAAGAATTATGTAATGAATCCTTCAGTAACGAGTTTTCTATCGGCACTGTTTGACAAAAGAGGTTCCATTTTTAGATTTTATATCCTCGTAGCGGGGACCTTTTATAGCTTAACTTGACTGGACATCGGAGAATTCTGGTTGTCTCACGATAAAATACCCCCCCTTTATATGTAGTCTGTTGGTGTTAGCGTCGACTGCCATACCTCCATTTCCCATGAAGACCATGTGATTCTCCCAGAATCCTCCATTCTTCCCCATTAATAAATTAAAAAATGGCTGGTCCTTAGCTATCATGCTTCGAGCACATGATTTTAGCTACCTACACTATAATCAGTTTTATATTTTTCTTTCACATCCTATTCCTTTTGGTGTAGCTGTATTGTCCCCATCCACACATTTCTCTTGGTTGACGAGGTCTAGTTGTTTATTGCACGTGATTAAGTTTTCCTAAGGCTTCCTTGATTTATGCTTCTTTCATTTCTTTAGAAAAGACCGTTGACGTAAAAAGGAACCAGGAATATTACAGACGTTATTCATCCCACTCGAGAAAAAAAAAAGACAACCCACGTATAACAACTAATGAATTTACCGTTGCTATCATAATGGCAGCCCAACTTCCTGTCCTTAGAAAGGTTTGTGGGAAGTTCGAAAGAATTATTCAATTCGTCGCCGTGTAAAAAAATTTCCGCTTTCTTCGTTCGTTTGTTTGAAGAATAATAGTAAATACTCTTTCTTTGTCTATAGGCGGTTGGTTTCTTCTGTTGTAGAAATGGCAATTACCTTCGCCCTGGAGAATAAAATTGCTCAAAAGAATCATGTGGAGTAGAAGCGAAATTTTCATCGCCTCCCCATACACTCGTTCATGATTTACGAGGTAAAGTGTTTTTTAATTACTGAATTAATCTGGCATCTGACATGTTACATGATAGTACAAGGTAACTTGCACTATGTCAATTCTGTCAGTAATCTGTTTGGACTGCTTGGATGTCACTAAACTTTTTTAACCTTATGAATGAAGATTTTCGAATAGTTACTGGAGGTTACGCATAAACATCCTTGCAAAATTCCTATGAGCTTTGTTATCAATCGAGAACCATCGATTCACATCTATTTTGGTCATAATTATTTTCATGTTCCATTGCACTTTGGCACGAGTTTGTTTGCCATATTGGGTTTGACTTTGACAGTCTGTAGTTGTGTGCATGGCATTTGTAACTGTGCTTCATCTCACATGTGAAAGCAGTCTTGCATCATTTACTACATCTTCCGCTGGTTTTATCAGAACGGTTTCTTCTACAAACTTTTCACCACCATTAAAGACAACGATGGAACTTTATTAACGCTACCTTTACGCCTGTATTATGATACAAAAAATCTCAACAACGAAGCATCTGGTTAAAGTACTTTAGCAGAAATGATCTCCATATGTTTGGTGAACTCAAGCGTGTACGATGTCGCGTCAAGCTCAATCGATTAAAAATAATTATCCACATTTATTTTTCAACTCTCATTCGGTTTTGAGTTGTTACCAAGGTCAGCTCAGTGATCCACGATAAGATGCTTGCAAACGTATAAAAGAAATTATTATACTTTTTCTGTATCAGGCTGCAGTGCATATGAACAAATCTAAAAAATAGCGCTTGTAGTAAATAAAATTTAAGAAATTAAACAACTTCCTTGGTGCCTAGTTCCTACCAAAAATGGAAGATATGCTAAGCGCTTTTATTCTTTTGGGAACAAATCAAAAGCTAAGAATTGGAAGACTCGCCGATAGTGTTCTTTGGGCAAAGGCAATTTCTTAAACTTAAGATAAATGAGATATTTTCCTTTGGTTCACAAAGCAAAAAGGCTGTGTACGTGACCTTTGTGAAAGAAGAACTTATGCTCATTTACGTGCGTCATCCTAAATAAGAATTCAATGGACATTTTTAAACCACTTTAAGGAAAACCAAGACAATCCTACAAGGCCGTCCATGGAACTGCCACCTTAACAGCGACTAAACAAACAAAAAGTGCAGCAAGAATGAAAAATAAGTCTCTTGTTCAAAATTGTCACAGAATCATACCATGAATTTCGAAAGCTCGGACTTACAGGTGAACAGCGTGCACGGGGCTGGAAATATGACTTTAAGAATAGCTCGAAAAAAAATTCCACAAGGAAATCCGCTGCGGTTACATTTTTTTGTCGTATTTTCTTCTCAGATTTTTTTCTATTTTTGGCGTGGTCTGTATTCCTACCGACGAAGACAAACCCGACAAATTGTGGTATAAGAGACAACTTCCCTTGATATAGATGCTTCAATGCATAAGGAAGTAGCAATGATTTATTTACGTCATCACATGTAAGAATTGGCATAAAAATGGTATTCCACACCAATAGTATGCTCATATATCTTAAGGAAACCGTCTAAGCCGTTAGGTTCTACTCTTGAAAAGTTAAAAAACCCATTCTAGTTAACAGGGATCAAATATCATCGCAAGCGGAATCGTTTTATTGAAGGTTGGTACTACTATTCGAAATGCTCATTTAATTCGGTCGGACTCACTGAGAACTCTTAATGGAACTTTCTAGTCTGCATATTTTGTTTTTATGCAATATCTGTATTACAGATTCCTGGAATATTCTAGAACATTTTGTAAAACATATAAGGAGTCGCGATCGGTTAAAGTTAGCCTTTCTCTTTTCAGTGAGCCTTTTCTTTAGTTAATCTTTTCGATCCTGAGAGTCATTTTGGATAGCCAGCAAGCCAGAGAGCAGAGCCAGTGTATTGTGAAACAGTGTGTTGTCGCGGAGCGTCAATAGAGTGAGTGCCGTCTGGAAGAGCCCAGAGTAGTTAGCGTTATTACGGAGCCGGACTACAGAGAATTGTTGGAATTATTTACTGTTACTGGAATCGTCAGCTGTATGGAAGGCTATCTTGAGAAAAGTTTTGTGGATAACGATAAGTTACAAGGATCTTTGAAGAGAACTGTAAGTTATGCAGTAGTACAATGAGATCATAGTTTTATAGAGGGCTCTAAGATAAGAGGATAGTTATTGTACTGGTTATTGGTATCGCTCCGTCGTAAGATTATTACGTCAGTCAATAAAGTAGTTGAGTTTGTACGACGGAGTTGTATCATTCCGTCGTTTGTGAAAATACCGGAACTAGTTAAAACATAAATTTTGTAAGAGGTTTTGAAAAGTTCTTGACTCATTTATTTCAAATAATTCGCTGTTTTATGATTCATCTAATATTTTTATTCATTTATTCAGTCAACTTTAATTCCATCAATTTTTTTTTTTCCATTCTAGAGACGTTCTTGCTATCCTGTCGTGTAACCAGCCACCAGACCTTGGTTAAGCAACAGTTACAAGATTAAGAATGCTTGGCACTCAGTCAGACTGCATTGCATGGCTTGTCGTGTAACCAGCCACCAGACCTTGGTTAACGAACAGTTACAAGATTAAGAATGCTTGGCACTCAGTCAGACTGCATTGCATGGCTTGTTGTAGGCACCATTGGATTACTACTCATCACTGTCCTCAATATCATCACAGTCATTGTGTTTGTGAAGCAACGTCAGCTACAGCGGAGGGGCACTTACTTAGTCATCCATTTGGCGATTGTTGACCTCTTGGTCGGAACAGTCTCTGGCCCTGTGATTACTAGTCAATTTTTTGAGCATTACTGTGGCCTTTGGAAAGTTGACATCAAGATATTTCCTGCATTGGTTGAGTTTTTTCCCACGGCTTCAATCGTGAACTTGGCTTTCATTTCTTTAGAGAGGGCGCATGCGACATTTTTCCCTTTTAAGCATCGTGAAACTAAGAAATCAGTTTACGTGGTATTAATAGTCGCCATTTGGTTTTTAACTTCGCCGAGAGAGATTCTCCAATATGTGTTAGACCAAAAAGATGGGAGTTCTAATCCCACTAGATCATTCACAACATTAAGCATGGTGATATATACGTTAGCATCTCTGTTTGTCGTATGTATCTCTTACATTGCAATCTTTATCAAAGTTCGATTCTGTCCCATTCCTCAACGACATGGTGCAAATAACAGAGAACGCAGACTCACCGCCACTTTACTAATAGTGACGCTTGCATCGCTTCTAACTTGGCTGCCGGCTGTAATTTTCAGACTTGTTAGATTTTGGGATGACAGTGCCATCCCTTCACGATCGCTCTTTTTTATTGATAAAACACTTGCGACATTAGTTGGCGTCAATTCCATGGTAAACCCAATTGTGTATGCTGTAAGAATGCCAGAATTTAGGGCGAGTCTTAAAAAAATTTTTTGCAAGGCTCCGAGTAATACTCGTCAAACTAGTTTCCCACTTCGAAACCGATAGCAAATTCTGCAGAAAAGACGCTTTCTCGTTTTATTTTGGGAAAATGGTCTGTTGCAATTTTCTGCCTTTCCATCTTTTAAAAGTAAATTTGTCAGAAGTTCTTAATTAAGGCAAAATTCCACGACCCAACGATGACCGTACACACAACAACCGCGGTTAACAACTAATATAAAGGTAATCAGTGATACAACCTTACTGGCTCGGATTTGTTAACCGTTAGACTGTACTGTCCACACTAAACGGGTTATCTCATTTGTATTGTGCTTAGTTGACAACTAAACTAATTGTATGGCGTTCATTTGACATTGAAATAAAAATGATAAAAATTGAAAGAAAAAATGAGATAATAAAGAGCTGTACTTGTTGAGAAAGTTGTTGAACTATTGGCTGGCTACGATTTTTCGGATGAGAGGGGTGGAATCATAAAAGGCATCACAACTCTACGGCTTTAATGAAACTGTTAGCAGATTCTGCACATTGGTTCAGCCAACCTTCCGAACTTTTCTTAAATTTGGACCTCTACAATTCACTCAGTTTTCTTTTTGTCCTTGCAGTATTCTTGTATTACAGGTGTAGGTAATCGAACCCAGTTGACGCGACTGAACCTAATCCAGGCCTTAACAACCAGACCTGTAGGCTTTGAAGTTGAACTCTTTAATTAGCTTCGTTTATTAACACCCCTAAGAGGGTCTTAATGGGGTGGTCACGTTGATGGTTGACGGCTAAAAATAGGTCCTTAAATTCTTGGTCATTTGACGGTTGACGGTTAATTTTTGGAATGTCGTTAATAAAACGAACTAAACGCGCCAATTTGGCTATCACTTGTCATAATGACGCGTTTGTAAAGAACTGTTAATTTATAAATACTTTATGCGTTACTAACCAAGCGTGAGGTCAAGACGGCTGGGTATTGGCGAATTCTTTTTTCGCATTTTTATGGACCGAGACGAAGTCGAGGTCCATAAAATTGTTAAAAAAGAACTCAGCTAATAGCCAGCCATCTTGACCGAACAAGCTCGGTTGATAAAGGACTTGTTACATTGCAAAAAGATTTCGCTTTATTAAGAATTAAGAATGACTTGTTTACTTCGACAGCCGGGAAAGAAAGTCAAATGTGTTTGTAGGACAACAAGCTCACGAGAGCCGTTTCTGTTTTCTTTGTTTTGGCTATCTTCTAATAACATTTATTGTTACTTCGCTCGCAGCGCCCGTGGGCAAGATGAAGCGAATCCTGTGATCTGATTGGCTACCCTAGCGGGTAAGATGGCCCATCTTGCCCGCTCGGGATTGCCCGTATTGATACCGCGCATGATAAAAATGAAATTAGAACTACGTTCGTACTTCTTGGACAATTTCGGCAATGGAAATGCAAAAGTGGAAGAAGATAGTCAAAACAAAGAAAAGAGAAACGAATCTCGTGATTTTATTGTGCGACAAACACAGTTGGCTTCCTTTCCTGGCTCTCGATGTAAACAAGTCATTCTTAAAGTGCTACTGAGACCAAATTTAGCGTTCGCCAGATGTTTCACTTTTTAGAATCCTTACCGGCTACTTACCACTCTCACAAAATTTGGAATGAAAATTCGAAGTGAAAGTCTGTTTTTTCAGCTTTGTTTTCCTCGATTCAACGTCCGCCATTACTCAAAGTGCGAAATGGCCGCGCGTATTTGTGACCTCATATTATCCCCTTATGCGCAGGCTCTTAACCAAGAAGTGGACGGAGATTATTGTACCTGAAAAGTTCAAGGAGCGTCTATCGTCGTTTTGAGGCCGCAAATGGCACCCTTGAGTTATGTTGTGCAGGATTGAGCAATTAATATTTAATACAAATGCTGAAATATCACTACACGGGCCAAACGAAATAGTTACGAAAGCTAATTGATGGCATTCGTACGCCTACATCGCTGAAACCTACACCCGAAAGGAGTATCGACGTAGATTAGGCATGAAAAAGGATTGCCCCGGGTGCCACTCCTAGAATACGGAAAACATTTTTCAGCTGACCATGTCTCCAAGAAGTGACCAAAGGGCGAGTCTTGTTAGATCGTGATCGTTCCGTTCGTTCTCAGCTCACGTTTTCTAGACCTCGAGAACATGCAACGATTGAACTTTCCGTGAGTTAAATTTGTTTTGATTTTCTTTGTTCTCTATTTATTTATTCTCCAAGACTCATAATCCGCCATGTAAGATTTGTACACAAAAATATTTGTTCTTCTGGAATAAAGTCTTACCTTTCCTTTTAAAATTGCTTTAATGTGGCAATATTAGCTTCAATTCCAGAATATCAATAGATCTATATTGCTGTAGTAGTATGAGAAATTGTCTACATTCCTAACTTAACCAGGCCTGACAAAAGCCATGGAAAAGGCCTCTGCAATTGAGAATATAAGCTTTCTGGGGGGATACCATTCTGTGGTTAATCAATTTGCCCCAAAGATGTGGACCAGCTTTTACCTGTACTCTGCAGGTTTATTAAATTTCATATAAAGCACAGTACAGATAGTTAATTTCACCGTATAAGAACAGCAAAGCACTAATTATATTTCTGGGGGCAGGTCAAATTAGTTCCTCCATGATATGCATAGCATGACCGCACTGATAACTTCAAAGAAGAAAGGTTGGAACAGGTACATTTATTTACTTATAGTTATGGTTGACCGCAATATTCTGTTTTCTAATTCTTGCAGTGGTTTTAGAAACAATTTGGTAGTCAATTACTTATTCTCAATTATTGTAATAAATATGGGCTATCAATCCTGCCACTGGCAGCTTGAAGGGAACAAAGGTGGAAAATCAAGGCCAGCCACGTCTTAGGGTAACCTACCCAAAGTACAAGGATGTAAAGGAAATGTCATGATAAGCCAAGGTAGCATTAAATTATGGTGAAGTTTTGCATAGTGCATAGATCCAGCAGATGCCTACCAACTTACATAAATGCTTCACTGTAAAAGCAAATGTGCAGCATGTGTGATCAGACTCCTTTTTTTGTTTTCTCAATCATTCATCATCTTGATAACCATATCAATCGAAGATATTTAAAAAAGTGGCCAATGAGCTAGAAAATGGTATGCCAGGTGCTTTATACTTGATGCTTGACAAGGGGTCAGAAGAGCAAGCCATAAAAAAGCATTAATGATATCAATGTGTGTTCCAATAATCCCTGGGTAAACAGTGGTACTTGTACTGACTGAGTGAACAGTTATGTTTATGCTTATCAGCCTGGATTCTAAGGATTCCATTGTGAAATGAGAAGGAAAAGAAAACTGTGATTTGTTTATAATGGTGACCTTGACAGCATTCCTTCTGAATTTTTTGTTACTATTTCCATCCATTACTGGAAACTCCACAATGCAGTGGATAAACGAGTGTTTATCCACTGCATTGTGCTTTTCATCTTTTATTCCGACAATGAAAAGCTGCACAAACACGAGTCCATAGTAATGTGTAATAAGTAAAACACAATTCATGGAAATAAACAAGCTATTGATCTTCTTCGAAACAGTTTCGCTAGGAAAAGCGTTGAATAACGGCCAAAAGGCATTGAATTACAAAGAAAAAGGTTTGAACTTCCAGCGAAATAAGATCAAGGGTAAACTGGCTGGAAGAGTACTGCTCGAAGACACCTTAAAACAATAAACATAGCCTTTCAAGAGATATTTTCATGCTGTTACAAAAGCTTAACTAAGAACATGTGCTAAAACTTCTGCGTCACCAGTTAGCCGCTTTTGAAGCTGTAGCTCCCTCATTTCTTCACTAGCCATGTCTAAATGTTTTCCTCAAAAGCGACGGCCTCTTCCTCGGTTGCACGTGGCTCTACTTGTTCGTCGCACGGAGCGCGATATAGCCAATATTTCTCCTCAACACCAAAGTAAAGAACTGCGACGATTTTCGAGCAAGATCGCCACTAAATTTACTATTTACATCAACAGAGCTTCGATGAAAGGAATAATTTGATGTCAATGAGGAAAGACACTGAAAATTATCGTTGGCTCAGTAGTTGTAGTTTGAGCCATGGCGGACGAAATTTGGTGGGTTTTAGTCAAGTTTTTTTCGGACTTTTCTTACCGCGATAGGTCTGAATTGGATTTTTTTCCTTTCGTTTAGGATCTAAACTTAAATTGTGGGCATAAAAATCTTGTTTTGAAGAACATCAATTTTCGTCTCCGTAGCACTTTAGTTTTTAGTAATATAAAGCGAAATCTTTTTGCAATATAATAAATCCTTTATTAACCGAGCTTGTTCGGTCAAGATAGCGAAATGTTAGCCTCGTTATTTTTTCGCATTTTTATGGATCTCGACTTCGTCTCGGTCTATAAAAATACAAAAAAAGAACTCGGCCAATATCCAGCCATCTTGACCTCACCTCACGCTTGGTTAATAACGCATATTTATCAATCAAAGGAAACTGTAAATAAGTCACGGATATATTGCGTTTGAATGAGTTTTGAAGAATATTAAATTCCAGTTGGTAACTCCCGGATACAGTTGAAACTTCTTGGTATTCATCTTTAAACTGCTGGGGTGATGTTGGGTGAATGGTCAGAATTCACATTTCAGCTATCGGTTAGTACAAAATACAGACTACAAACCGGGTACGAAATGCAGACTAGGTAATAATAACAATAATAATAATAATAATAATAATAATAATAATGATAATAGCGCCTTTTCTACAAGATTCAAAGGCGCTGTTTACAAAAATTTGATAAAGCTAGAAAGTAAAAATCACAAGAAATTGACATTAAAACTAGGCGCTAACTACACAATAGATAAATGTACAAAATAGATAGGAACTATTTATCGATTCATGAACATCACGATTCATAAGCTCGAATAAAAAGAAATGTCTTAAGTTTGCGTTTAAAATCGTCAATCGAGTTTGCAGATTTAATATCCTCAGGTAAGTTATTCCAAAGTTCCGAAGCAGCAACAGAAAAAGCTCGTTTACCATATGAATTGAGATTAAAAAGGGTTTAAACTACTAGATTTTTATTAGAAGATCTAAGATTGCGGTTGGGTTTATACAATTGAAGGAATTCCAGTGTATAGATTGGAGCGCGATCATGTAGCAAAGGGAAACAGGGAGCCAGTAAAGATCTCTCAGGACTGGAGTAACATGAAAAATTCTAGGACACTGGTTGACAAGGCGAGCGGCATAATTTTGAACATGTTGAAGCTTTCGAATAAGATAGGATGGTAGACCGTACAATAAAGAATTACAATAATCAAGTTTAAAAGCTATGAAGGAATGAATAATGATCTTTTCTGCATCATGAGTAAGATATTTGCGTATGAAGCCAATGTTACGAAGATGAGAGAA